GGGGGGGGGGGGGGGGGGGGGGGGAGGGGGCTGATCCGCAGTTACGCTACGGTGAAATAATAAGCAGTCTTCACATCAGTGTAGTCAAAAATTGCTACAAAATACAACTTTCTCATCCAAAACACTAAGACATTCAAGCCCAACGACTTTTATGCGCTTTTTTTTTTGTATCTGTGCAATTTGCAAACGCATACTGTCAAGGAGTTATGTGTGTATGTATGTGTGTGTGTATGTGTGTGCGTGTGTGCGCGTGCAACGTCTGTCCGAGTTCTCCCATCTCGAGAACTATGAAAGCTACGAAGTCGAAAATTCGAAAACTTAGCCTATACTAATTAAAAGACGATGGACCTAAAATGAACGTTCATGTATTTCTGGTACCCAAAGATCAATACGTGAAGGATTTTCTAACAGAAAGCGTTTTCGGGAGAAAGACAAACCGGAAAAGTGAAATTTTAAGTACATGTTCCTTATAAATTTTTTAAATTCAGACTACATGCACTCCTGAGTCTTGCGTATTTAAACGTCAAAGTTTAAACTGGCATCATGCCAACCCGATAATTAAGCTGAGTAGGAAGTTGTAGAGAGCTGTAATTTTTAGACTTTGTTTGTTGTCCACTGTTGCGCTTGTGAAAGTAAACTGGGCTTTCGTACCTCTCCGAATATTATGTGTGAAATCTGACACAAACAATTCTGTGGCTTCGGAATTAAAACAACCAGAAGGCTGAAATTTTTGGAACTGGCGGACTACCGTGTTTGAATAAACGGAAATGAAAGTAACTTTCACAGTTTTTTCATGTTACTTTTTTTTCACAACCGAAGTAACCGAAGAGTGCTGAATTTTTCTGAGCATGGTCACGACCATGTTTATTGTGTATCATTGTAATAATTTGTGACAATGCGGGAAGAACTATGCAGGAAGCGCATCTTCGTACCGGCAGCCGATGCGGCGGTAACTTGTTTATTACGCAAGTAACAACTTTGTGAGAAACTTAGTGTTGATTCGAATGCAAATTTAAGATCAAAAAGTGTTAGCTCACTTGTGATGCCACGCTGCTTGTTCCGAAATTCCCACGCTAGCGGTGACGGCGACGAAGCAGAGGATGATTAAGCCAAATGCTTGATGGAACGGTAGAACTAACTGGCGCATCGGTATACTCCAACCAGGGAAGAAGAATGTCGTAAAACCGGACAAATACTGCAACAAAATAAAATTTCCCTCCCTTTTCACGACAAAAAAAGCATGAATTAGTCAGGAATAATGCGCATTATCAGGTGACTGTTGGAAATTATCAGTAAGTTGGATAAATTCGCTTGTATAGGGAGGTACAAGAATGTGGCAAACTTCGAAATAAGCAAGATGGTGGAATTGGGAGCTCGCAAAAAGATACGCTGCAGTGATGGAATGGATAACTGATCGAAGTCAGATGAAGCCGGAAGGTAAAGCTACAATATACCTGTATAAAGTAGAAGACGACAACGCTCAAGCCGATCCATGAATGCAACGAGTAGAGATTGGGTAGTGGATCGGGGTGGCCCTGCTCA